AGAAACAACTGAGTTCATAAAATTATCGGAACATCCAGTTGTTTGCACACCAAATAACATTTCCGAAGGCGTACGACCAGTTGCCTTATTTATGGTATTGTTTAGAGACCATTGTATTTGTGGAATTAACAAATCCCAATCATTATCAGGACGATTATGATTAGCTGCTGTCAATGAATCAACTATGGTTCGGTTGTACCTCTCCACTTGGCCATTCGCCCTGGGAGAGGCAACTGCATTGAGAATATGTTTGATTCCCTTTTCCTTGGTAAATTCGGCAAATTCTTTACTAGTGAAGCTAGTGCCACGATCAGATATAACACGGTTTGGTACACCAAAAATCGAGAAATATTCCTTAAATACCTGTATGGTAGTGCTACTTTTTAAATTTTTGACCGGTTTTATGTATATAAATTTAGTGAACGACTCTATAATTACCAATATGTGACAGTTTTTCTTTTTACTTAGTGGGAAAGGGCCACAATGATCTGTGTGTAGCGTATCAAATGGTTTGTTAACTTTTGGTATTGGATGAAGTTCCCCTTCTTTAGGTCGAACAGGTATTTTATTATGCGCACAATTGAGACAAGAATTACAATATTTTTTGATAAAACGCCTCATCTTTTTGAACCAATAAACTTGACTAACTTTGTTATATGTTTTATCAAAAGCAAAATGTCCAGCATCGTCGTGATTCATACGAACTATTTGCCATCTCACCGACTTGGGGACTACCCATTTTAAATTAATATCACCATTTTTATCGGTTATGACTCTGTAAAGTCGGTTATTTTTGATAGTATAGTTCTTATGAATCTCGACAATGTCTTTAGTGTCAGGGTCCTTTAGAACATTAATGATTCTTTGTATTTCAGAGTCTTGCTCCTGAACTGTTTGTAACCAAGAATCATCATCTATCCTTAAAATGTCAAAACTATCCGGAATCGGTTGAACATCAGAATCGACAGGATTGCGGGACAAGGCATCGACGTGATTCATTTTTGTTCCATTACGATGTTCAACACCGAAATCATATTCCTGCATTAAAATATACCAACGTGCCACTCTAGGTATTAAATCCTTTTTTGTCATCGTGCAACGTATGGCTGCACAATCTGTGATAACTTTGAATGATTTTCCTAGTACATACACCCTGAATCGATTCAATGCATTGACCACTGCCAATGTCTCCAATTCATATGAATGGAGTTTGCTTTCGTCAGTAGTAGTTTGACGACTATAAAACGATATAGGGTGCATCGTGCCAGAATTATCTCGTTGCATAAGTATAGCGCCTATGTCCAGTTTACTGGCATCAGTGTGAATTTCTAATTCAGCTTGAGGGTCGTATAACGCTAAAACCGGACGTGTCGTTAATTTTGATTTTAATTCATTAAACGATTTTACCTGCTCTTCGGCGGAATTCCACGGAACATTTTTCTTAGTAAGCATAGTTAACGGCCTTGCTATTTCGGAAAAATTTCGAATAAATCGCCTAAAATAACTGGTCAGCCCTACGAATTGGCGGGCCTCGTGGACATTTTTTGGTATTGGGAATTCTGAGACCGCTTTGACTTTTACGCTCCCTGGCCTAATACCATCGGAACTGATTTCATAGCCCAAATAATTTATGTGAGTTTGAAAGAAATCACATTTCTTAAGGTTTAATGTAAGTTGAGCCGTCCTTAACATTTGAAATACTTTTTCTAATTTGTTCAAGCCTTCGTCTACAGTTTTATATGGTACTAACAGGTCATCCATGTATGCCAATGCTACATTTTTACCGTTACTTTTAAACATTGTATCTATAGTACGCTGAAAAACGCTTGGGGCATTTGCAAGCCCAAATGGTATTCGTTCAAACTCGTATAAGCCATCTGGGGTTACAAACGCCGTATATTTTTTGCTTGATTCACTCATTGGCACTTGGTAGTATCCTGACTTGAGGTCCAAACTTGTAAAAAACTTATTCCCTCCCAATTTGTCCAGTTGGTCCTCAATACGAGGCAAAGGATACTTATCCTTGATGGTTTTCCTATTCAGCGCCCTGTAATCTATACAAAGTCGCTTCTCACTATTCTTTTTCCCGACCAGAATTACAGGGCTTGAAAAATCCGACGAGCTTTCGCGTATTATACCATTCGCTAAAAGATCCTCTATAATTTTGTTAAGATTTTCGCGTTCACTCTGAGACATTCTGTATGGATTATAAACAATCGGTCTATCATCAGTTAATGAAATTTTCATTTCCGTTAAATTTGTTTTACCCAGCTCATCTAACTCCATCGCAAAACAATCCCTGTATTTATCAAGTAACGCAAATAGTTTATTCTTCTCCTCGTCTGTCAAGTCCGCACTAATTTTTACATCTGATTTAAGTAATGGTTCGTAAGTTTTAGTTTCCGCAACAACTCCTACAAACTCAGTACTAACTTCTTTAAACAGATACCCTCTAGCTAATACAGATTCCTTACTAAGGTTTAGATCAGTGGAGGACAAATTTGTCAACATTATATATCCTTTTCCGGTAGCAAATGTATAAATTCCTGGTAATATGATATACTCATTGTTAGGTAATACCCTGAGACTATAATTTAAGTATAACCAGGCCTCCGTCACTCGCCTATGCCGGCCGAGATAATTACCTACAGCGCGCGACAACTTCAAGTTGCAAATCAGTCAGGGCCGCCACGCGCCGTGACGCGCCTGTGAGCACACGCGTACCTACTATACACGCTCGGTGTATCATCGTCGCAATCAAGGTTTATTGTTCCAACGGCACTGTTATTCTTCTTTAATGGAAAATCGTAATATTTAGGAGTAATAATTAACTGTAGTGATTTAAATAATTATAAAAAACTACACTTTTAAAATAATTTTGAAATACTTATGACAAAAAACTGTAGCAAAAAAATTATTTTAGCTAATAAAAACATTAACTTTACTTCACCGTGTCTATTTTCCGACACCTTTTAAAACTGTTTGTCCAATTTCGAATTATCGCAACACTGAAGTTTATTAATAGGTACTTTAGAGATGGTACGATTATACAAACACCACTAAATTAAAGTTTACCAATCGTAAATACAATAAAAAATTAAGTTTTTATTTATTTTACTTTGCTTATACAACCCTGACGCTTGAGCTGTGAGGTAGATCAATTCTGAACACAAAAAAATTGCGCTCTTGTGAGCGTAGTAGTAAGGTGCGATTTCGAATGCACCATGTGCGTTGGATATTTTGCATTATTATTATTACCGTTAAAATGCCGGCATCTGATCCTACACAAAGGAGTGCAATTTCTGTTGCTACTATTATGTATTCTGTGGTGTATGCAAATACTGTCTTACTATAACGTATGGAGGCCAACATACTGATTCTATTTAAATCAACAACGTGGATCTACCTTCAAAAATCTAGTTTAAAAATAAGGACATGGTAAATAGAAAAATTGAAAACCAAAGATATGGTAATTATACTCTTACGCGATTCATCGACGGTACGCCAACGCAATAGACGTCTACTTGCTTACAGGTCATAGAACTAACTAAGGGCTCGCGCCACGCGCGTAAATGATGTGTCAAATATTATTATTTAGGCTTGTGTGCCCAAAAACAAAAAACGTCACGGGAATTAGGATTTTCGCTCGGACAAGCAGTTTTTTAATTCTAATTATTTACAGAATGGTTCTATTGAATAGATATTTTGCCATGCATAAGACAATCTTTTATACTCTTTAAAATGTTGAATGGAGTAAACCAAATCTTTACGACATAAAAATTACAGCCAACTTTTAACATTAAGTCGGTGTGCGGACGCGTAACGGTAATTAGAGAACAGGGTTTTATGAAATTAATTTAGACACAAATACTTAAAATAGAGGCCTATGATTTAATGCACAACTGGATAGGGTTGTTAAGTAACATATAAAAATACTTGCATGTCTCTAATTTGTCATTTTTAACGATTTAACAGCCCGGACACGCAAAAACTAGCTCATCTGAGAATGGCCGTTAATATTTTATTCGAGTAATTCATTGACTGCTCGCGGTGTCCTCGGCCTTCTAGGCACGCGCCCGCCTGCAGTTATTTGAAATACGCGGCATATTGAAATCGTTTGGCCATCATATCGGACGAAAATGACCTGTAAAGACGCTCGATCCCCTATTATTACGTGGAAATATCCCCAAAGAAAGGCCTTATCGTTTATTGTTATTAAATATTCCAGCGGAATTAATAACCCAGATTTAACGTTCAGCGTGTAAATTTAAGGATGATTAATGATTAAACGAACTTACCTGTACGTGAAGTTCTATCATAATTATACGATTGTTTTCGTCCGAAGAGATTGGCATAAAACTTTGTAGTATCGCCCAGGATCCGCCACTTGTGCACACGTTTGAGAGGGTATCACTTTTTTTTTTTTTTTTTNGGATGATTAATGATTAAACGAACTTACCTGTACGTGAAGTTCTATCATAATTATACGATTGTTTTCGTCCGAAGAGATTGGCATAAAACTTTGTAGTATCGCCCAGGATCCGCCACTTGTGCACACGTTTGAGAGGGTATCACTTTTTTTTTTTTTTTTTGTTGGTAGTTCAAAACTTATTTGACACGGACCATTACGACCGACCTTCATTACGTTTAGAGCATAGACATAATAACTACATGAATTTGCGGGAGGATGGGAGGGATGCCAATCTCTTCGGACGAAAACAATCGTATAATTATGATAGAACTTCACGTACAGGTAAGTTCGTTTAATCATTAATTATACTTATGTTTTCGTCCTCGAGATTGGCATAAAACTTTGTAGATATTGAGAGGAGTTAAACACATTATTAACAGGCAAATTTATGAAGATTATAATAAAGACTTTATTCAAGCCAAGATGAATAAAAATATCACAGTAAACCAAAAACATGTATTGAAAAACATCATTTGTAAATAATTGATTAAAAAATCATGTAAAAATAATTATAATGTAATACATTGTATAATTTTAATTAATGGTCTCATCATTAACTGAACTGGACAAAATCATTATACCAAATTCATTATTATCACTTGGGTCATTGTCTACCGTGACTCTATTATAGAATCTCCCAAAGACTTGTGAGCTGCCAGACCACCCAGCAGTATTTCTTATGAGATCTAAATTAACCCCAAGCTTACGAGCCTTTGACGTGGCAGCATGCCGCGTACTGTGAGCCGTAAAAATTGAGACATCTATGCCGCATTGTTCTAACACAGACTTAGTCCATCGGCTTAGCGTTTGTGGACCTACCGCGCAGTAAGGTTTTCTAAAACTGATGAAAAGTTTGCTCTGATTGTCGCGAAGATTTTTAGACCGTTCTATGTAATCAGTTAAGGTTTTGCAAGGACATAAAGCTGGGTTCTGGTTAAAATAAGGCAATGTAAGGGTTGGCTGGAGCGAACCGTTTCGAGACGTCTTGATAAATTCTGGAATTTTAATTACAATGTTACCAACGTGTTTCTCAATATTAAAAATATTAATCTTGGAGAGAGTCTGCATTCTATGTGCTGTAACTAATGCCAACAATGTAATTAATTTTTTAGTCAGGTTTTCGAATGTTATTTCAGTATTTGGATACCAAGTACTAAGAAAATTTAACACTATAGATGTATCCCATGTATTATTATATTTGGGCAATGCCGGCCGTAATCTATAAACGCCTTTAAAAAAGCGCTTAACGCGATCATCATTACCTATTTGATTTCCTGAAATGAGTGATAATGCAGATCTGCAACTATTTAGAGTTCCGAACTGAGCACCGTCGTTAAATAGCTGTGTTAAAAACAATATTACGTTTGGAATAGATATCTCAAATAAATCAATATTATTATGATTACAATAATTAAACCACTTCTTAATACAGGAATCATATTGACGCAATGAATTTTCACACAGTGAAGCCATCATTATATTTAGAGAAGAGGGTGGAATTCTTCTTCTCAGTAATGCCGTGCGGATAATAAAGCGGCAACCAGGGTAGTCTGCTGGTGAACGAGTCGATTGCTGGAATGAGATAAAATTAAATTCTCGCTTTGTGATAACACCATTTTTTGTCCGACTACCAAGCTATTATATAACGGATACCACGGTTGTGTGGGCCATAATGGAACTACAAGTATACCGGACGCTTTTTCTGCTATAATTTTTCTGATGGTTTTTAATATAACAGAAAACGGGGGGAACGCATAAAAGAAGTAGTCAGACCAGGATATCGTAAATGCGTTAATTGCATATGCGTCAGGATCTTTATGCCACGAAACATATTTTACGCATTTTTTATTAATACGGCTAGCAAATAGATCTATCTCAGGTTGGCCAAAACGTTGTACGATATCCTGATAAGCGTAATCTGCCAGTTCCCACTCTATGTCAGGGTGTACGCGGCGTGACTCGGCATCCGCCACAAAGTTATCCGCCGAGCGAATGTAAGACGCGAATACGTGAATTGCCCGAGATTCACACCACTGCCATAAGTCTTTTGTTACGCGTGTCAGGTGTGGAAATTGCACACCACCCATCCTATTTATGTATGAAATCGCCGTGGTATTATCAATTCGCAAAATAATATCACAATCGTGTTTATCTTTTGCAAATATTCTTAAACCCAAAAAAGCCGCTAATATCTCTAAATAATTTATATGATTTCTTTGTTCCGTTATGCTCCACAATCCGCTGGCTTTATCACTACCGCACGCGGCTCCCCAACCAGTCGTTGAGGCATCGGAATAAATCTCTAAGCAGTAACAATCTGTCCTAATCTTACTGCCTCTATTGCGAGTGACCGCTTCATACCACCATTTAAGATCGTTAGATATAGAATCAGGCAGGTTCATATACTTATCATAATTATCGTCATTTAACAAATTCAAGTATTTGACACGTTCAAGTTCCTTTGTATACAATCGCCCATATTCAATAGCATTGCAAGCAGAATTTAACAAGCCTACCAAATGAGCAAAGTCCCTTAATTTACAGCACTTTAAGCTTTGAAATTTTAACAATTCATTTTTTATTTTAATCACTTTCTCTTCCGGCAGATAAATACGTAATTTTATGGAATCAATATTAAAACCTAAAAATTTGCAAACGTTTTCGGGCTGGAGATTGGCTGGAGATTGCTTTTTTCTTTATTAATTATAAATCCCAAAGCTTCAAGGAGGCGATTTGTGTCAAAAATATTGTCCATACATGTCTCATAACATAATCCGACCAAAAAATAGTCATCCAAATATACCGTGGATAAATGACCCCTACATCTTAACAATTTAATGACCGGTTTCATAATTTTGGTAAAAATAAATGGTGCTGTACATAACCCGAAGGGTAATACATTAAATTCATACAATTCGTTATTATACATANGAAATCTTTAACGTTTTACATAAATATATTGACTTGGCCATCGCATGAAAACACGTGTAAATTAAATTATTTAGTGCGATGGCCAAGTCAATATATTTATGTAAAACGTTAAAGATTTCCTGGCCTGGACTTGGTATTACATGGATCTCACAACTTTTTACCGTAGAACAACTGAGTGGCGAGACTTGGTTTTTTTGACAAGTATTGTTTTTGATGGGATTTGAATTTCCCATCTTCATAGTAGAATGTCTCTAAAGATGCACGTCACATTCTCATTGGGATATATTTATAGATAATTATGGGGGCTTATTCGCAAGAACAAGGGGCGTGCTTTCATCAAAATATAGTGGGTTTTGAGAGACGACGTTACCAAGGCCAGTAAACTGAAAGCATGATATGGTTAGATTTTTATGAGAAAAATCTTCTATGGAACATGACAGCAAATTAGAATTTTTCATTTTTAATCAATATTTGGACTCTATTTTAAATTTTCTCTTGTGAGAATGAATCTTAAATGGATGTTTGGTATGTTTTAATAATTAGAAAGAATGAAAGAAAGAAAGAAAAAAATTATTTGGCAACATAAATATGAAATCATCTCTATGTTCATGTTTCATACATTCATTGATATGTTTTTTTCTATTTTTTACACATAAAAGCAAATTCAGAACAATTTTTTGTTTTTATTCTTATTTCTAGGTATTAAAGCAATAAAAATAAGCTATGCATAACCCGTGCGCAAAAATGCTGTAGACAGTTGTAATAGATAAAATCTAAGAGCTTCCTTAAACTGTATCGGTATCGGTACATAAGATGACGTCATTTTTTCTTGTATTGGAAAAACATTAGGTAGGTTTGTACCTACTAATCAATGTATGATTAATGCTAATAATACTATTGATAGTCTTACAAAGTAACGCTTCATCATCATTATCATTATTAATTTACTAAAAAAAAAAAAAAGATTTCAGTTTTACTTAATATTGGGAGGGATGCTCGTTATTATACATAAAACGTAAATATTTTTTGGACTCTGGATGCATTTTGACCAAAAAGTAGGCGTCTTTTAAATCAATTGTACTCATATAACAACCTTTTGATATTAATTTCAAAGCAGTTCTTAAATCTTCAATCTTAAAATGAACAGTATCAATAAATTTATTTAATTTTTTCAAGTTTAACACAAAGCGATCTTTGCCATTAGGCTTAGGAACTAAGAAATAACTGGATAAAAACTGATCTTTACAAGGAACGCATTTTGATACAGCACCAATTGAAATAAGATTACTAATGGCCTCAGTCATTCGCAGTTGTTCATTACTAGATAACGAAATATTTTTAGGCATAGAGGATTGGACTACAGGTTCAGAAAAAGTAATTTTGTAACCTTGTATCCATGAAAGCACTTGTGCGTCATCAGTAATTTTTTGCCATTTTGAATAAAATGCAGAAAGCCTACCGGCATATTTTACCTCTTCTAGCGCCAACTCCGACCTTGGTTCTGCTGCGACGACTTCCTCGATGGTCCGGCGGGCTGACTCCTGTGAGCGGCAGGCTCCCTCGCCCTCTGAGTCCCCGTTGACCTGCGACCCGGGGGAGGAGCCTTCCAGTTTAAATGCTGGGACGTTGATGGAAAGGTCTTTTTAGGTGGTCCAGATGGACCTGGCTTCTTAGTTTGAGGTACAGTTTTTGGCACGTTAGGTTTAAGCTCTGCTCCCGACTTTGTAATTGCTTTCGCAGTTTTTAAATTATCTGCGAAATTGTGCCCAAAAAGAAAGCTATCTACTTTCGTGCCTTGTATTTGGTCCTTTAAATCCTTTTTTAGATTGTTCAATAAAAGACCTCTTCTTATAGATGTGTGTTTATATTGAATATCGCAAAGCATGCGAACAGCGTCCATCAATAATTGTAGTTGACTCGGGTTATTGTTGTCGTTTGACATCAAAGGCGATATAGCCTCGGTCACACAGGAAATAGCTATCGCTAGTTGCTTCTGCTTGCTTTCAATACTTTGGTCTCGCTTTAAAACTGATTCTGTAATAGCTGCTTTCACCTCAGGATTCAGAGTTGGTGCCCCAATAAGGGGACAGTTTGTTGGTACCGCATATTTATTTAAAAGGTCTTTTCTTAACTCACTAGTCAATCCAGAAGTTGCAATATGTTCTAACCTTACTGCTAGGGCAGATAATATTTCCTTGCCCATCACTTTTGGAACAGTCGGATCCTCGCCAAGAATATCCAAAATAGCGCTATGGAGTTGTGGCTCCGATGATTGTGCGTCTATACTAGACGGCCCTGGTACTGGATCCTGCGCCGGCTCGGACGTTAGGGTAGACGCTGGCTCGGGCGCCGACTCGGGAACCGGGTCAGGCACCAGTATCGGGGAAGATTCATACCCAGGTTCATTTGTAGGTTCTCTTGGTGATGGATACGATTGCAATTCATCGTCACAAATGACTTCCGATTCTACCGTGAATTCTGAAATTATCGTAATATATAAGGTAATAAAACTATAAAAGTTTGTGGGTATTTATAAGTCATTAATAATACAATATAAGTATTATAATTATTGTTGCTTTAATAATTGCACATCTAAATAGACTGCCTACCCCAAAAAAGAAAACAGACTGTGTATGTTTATTGCATACATGTGCATAATACCATTTATATTATAGTATTTCAGTTATAAATAACCTCTTTATGATTAAAGTCAACAGTCCCTACGCCTGTTGAAAAAACGCTACTTTGTTAAAAAGTAGGTTATCGCGATCATCGACAGAGTGACAGTCCTTCCACAACTGCCCGCATCTCCGAGATCACGAATAAGAGGATAACAAATTGCAGGCATTTAAGTGCCGCATACCTTTGATTTTTGAATTCCCATGAGCAAGGTCATCATATGAAGATCTCGACGAACTAGAAGATCGACGCTCTTTGCGCCGAGCCTTTTTCAATTTGCGTTCAATTTTACGCAGTTTCTTTGCGAGGTTTTCATAGTCATCCTTATCAGAATTCTTCCGTTTCGGCATTATTTTATCAACACTGCACTACTTAATAACTTTACTTAAAACTATTAAAAAATACTAGCGGAGCACCGAAGTGGCGAAGCACTGGAACACGAATGAAGGTCGGTCGTAATGGTCCATGTCAAATAAGTTTTGAACTACCAACAAAAAAAAAAAAAAAAAAAAGTGATACCCTCTCAAACGTGTGCACAAGTGGCGGATCCTGGGCGATACTACAAAGTTTTATGCCAATCTCGAGGACGAAAACATAAGTATAATTTTGTTTATACCGACTAATAGCTCCGTAATTGAGAGGTTGTCTGCTTTGATCTTGTAATTTAGTCATAGGTTTATTGGCAATAAACACGAGATAAAGCCCTATAAGATTGGTTTTGGTCATTTCTCTCTGTAGGTTAGGTTTCCCCTCTTACAAATAGGGCGACCCAACGCGGCGCCCTCTTACAACTTGTAGTAATTAGATATTGGATTTCGACAAAAATTCAAAGTTTAGTGATGAAAATGTGAAAATAATACAAATAATTAACTTTTAAAAAAAATAAAACCGACTTCAAATGCGTGAACACAAAAAAAACTAAAAATTAAAAATATTCCGTATAAAAAAGTTCATCCTCAATTTTCTTAAAAAGTTCTTTAAAAAAGTNTTTTATGCCAATCTCGAGGACGAAAACATAAGTATAATTATAAGTAATGACGCCAATTAATAACAGTCTATCTTAGGGAATTTGTGCTTTAAGTACTTATTAGGTATTCGGATTTGTTGCTTCCTATTATTTAATTGGTAGCAATGATTTCTTTAGCTCGAATTTTGTGAAATTATGCTTGATGGTCGGCTAAATGGATGGTTTGAAAATTCTATTGAAATTAATTTTGTCACAGATCGCTAAAGAGGAACAAATACCCACACATATACATTGTAACAAACTTTCACGTATAATAATATTACTGGGATTGTATATTTAGCCCTGGTGGTATTTGAACCCGCAACAGACTATCATAGATCCAAGGGTAACTATAATCCTCTTAGAGCTGAAGATCACTGAATCTGTGTCATTCTCAAACGATATCACAAAAATGTTTAGGCATCTATGTAAGGAAGAAGAAGGCACGTTACTGTGTTACCTTATGTAGTTGTAATAATGGCGATATTGCAACAAAAATACCATAGTCCGATGTGCTGTCGGTGTACATATCCTGGTACAGAAGTACGTGTGTGTTGGTCAGCACAGCACTTCCGAACAAACAAGAGCCGCCAAGTCGCGCCTCCGCTGACCGTTCGCACAGATGCTCAACTATTTATAACAAGGAATTACTCAAATCCGTGCTGGAAGTGAAGCTATAGCTTGATCAAACTCAGCACAAAATATCCAAGCAGGTAATTAACTAATGAAAGTCTCTAATATCTAAAAAAAAGTAAAAAAACTAAAACCCAACTACGACAAAAAACGACGCTAAACAAGTATAAAACAAGATTTTCAGAATACCTACTGAACTGAACAAAGTTGCTAATGTAGTTTTCATGTTTGGAAAACCGCAGTCACATGTTGTCAAAGTGCTACGGTAGGTAGGTATGTAACGTGTGACTACGCCTTATATATATATATATATATATATATATATATATATAATGTACAAGTAAAGCCCTTTCAAATGATATCAAACACGGCATATTTATCTTAACTTTATTTTTTTACTCTGTATGTTTTGTCCGCTAGAGGGCGCCACATTAGATTTTGTGAAACCCCATATAGCCTATAACTAGCGGACAATTAAGACGCTTCTAATGATATGTCATTTGTCAAATTCTGATAAGTAGTTTAGAAGTTACGAGGAAACAGATGAACATACATACATACATACATACATACATACATACATATATACATACATACATAGCCTGTCAAAATTATAACCCTCCTTTGGCTTTGCCGTAGTCGGGTAAAAAAAGCCTGTAACTACGGCCCAGCATTAGTGGTGACATAAATAGAGCACATTGCAAGAACGGTAAATGAATTATTTTAATGCTTTAATTGATCATTCAATATATTCATATCATCATCATCATTCCAGACAACGTCCATTGCTGGATAAAAGTATCCCCCAAGGATTTCCTAACGATCGGTCCTGCACTACCCACATCCAGATGCTCTTCTCGTGACCTTCATCAGCCGGGCACGGATGCGCATCGTGATATACTTTATCGACATCAAAATGTATGGGCAATATCGATAAAATGACGTGATAACCACTTATCGCGGCGCGCATCCTAGACCTGTAGGACTGTAGGCAGACTACGATGTGTGAGTTTTCCGGTCACTGGTAAAATATTACCAATTTCGTGTTCTTGTTATAGGCAAAAATACATTTAATAAAAATCGAAGTCCATCGAAGGGAATTGTAGTGTGGACTTACTTCGGACTCGATGGCGTCTAGCCAACGTAGCTCAGTGGATTGACGTTCTCGCTGCAAGTAAATGGAAGGATTAAAATTTACAGTAGGGCCAAGGTTTTATTGGTTATACCTAGAGGATGTACTATAATGGTTTAAATAATAAACATAACAAGATCCTGGGATTTAATAAAAAACGAATGAATTTCAACTGCGTAATAGTAGGATAATTGAAATGATAATTAATTGACAATATTATCTAAAGTCTTGGTAGAGTTAAGATACATATACTGAGTTTCAACTCTAAAGAATAGACTTACTTTAGCTATATTAAATCTAATCAATGAAATCAAATCTAAATAAAATCTACTAAAATCAAATTCAACCCAAGTTAAAGTGAAAAAAATTTAGTTCTATAAATATACGGCACGGCTATATTTAATGACTAAAAACAAACTAGTCTAACTTAATACATTCAAGGAAAAAGTCCCAGCAACATGACATTTGTTTTAGAGAAGTTAGTTTTAAAAAGGTCGTTTCAAAACAGAATAGCAAATGCTATAAAAAGAACAAAGCATCTAAAAACTAAGAAACAATCTCAATGGGCGAATGCGGGAACAGTATTTTCTTATCCAGCCAATCTAATTCCGTGTTCTCAGTGGTCTGGAGCAACTATGTCTTGCAGTAAAATACCGTTTACATTTCTGCTTTCCAGTTTACTTGTTTGTTATTCAGAGACCAAGTCAGAACGATACAACCATATTCAAGAAATTTGGAATACACACGGATATTATTGCACGTATCGGATTTCGTGCATGGTTTCTCTACCGTGAACAGTTATCCGAATATTTGAAAGAAAAAAAGCCTACTCGAATGCTTATATTTATGTTTTTAAGGCGAATAGAAAAAGTACAAGATCCTCAGCTATCAAGTCACGTACGACCCAAAAGGTGCTAAAGGTTTCTTTTTGGAATGACGATAATTTATTTTCCCAAATGGACTACGTATTTATTAAATTAGCATCTGTTTTCGTTACGAAAAAGGTCTTTGTTCTGTCTTACAGAATGGAAATAGGGCGTGTCATGAGCTGTATTAAATTAAAGTTTTGACGTTAATGCGGTCAGTAACCTTTATATGGATGTTTTATTATCCCTTCTTATTTAAAAACAATCCCTTACATTTTATTTGCAATTTCTTTTTTGAATTTTCATTTTCCCTCAGGGGAAATTTTAAATTCAGCCAAAATCTAAAAAGTAATCTATAAAAAGTTCATCGGTCGTTTTTATTGTTTTCTGAAATGAGAATTTTAATTAAAAAGTTTTCGTAAAGCTGATAAGTAAAGTATGCTGAAATAATGTTCAAATTTTAAAATCCCAAAGAATTTTAAAATTTTTAGAGTATTTTTTCCAGAAAAAACTAAAAGAAATCATAAAACTATGTCCACAAAGCTTAAAGTTATTTTATGCATAAGTTACCTGTGAAAGCCGGTTTTACAACAGATTTTAAAGTTTGTATAAATTGAGCAGTCAATGTAAGTAAATGTTGCGAAACTACCCCAGATTGGCCACAGTAACTCTTCGGAGCGCAGCCGCGAACAAAACCTCTAAAACCATGGGATAGAAGTTTGCGAAGTTGTCTGGTGTTACGTCGCATTTTAGTTCCAAAGCGATACCGTTAAAGTTTTACACACTAAATTATTATCCACCTGGGCGCCGCTCTTGAACTGACATGTTGAGTTCTTGGGAAGAAGAAGCTTTATTTATTATGCGTGGTATCCTCAAGCTACTATTTTGTAAAACGTTAGTGTGAAAGTATTAGAAAACGTTTAGGTTCGATAATAATAAGTTAATAAGTACCTAATGTGATCTCATAAAGGTAGCAGGAAGGTGCTGGGTGCAGGCAGCTACCAACCGGCCATTGTGGAAATCATTGGGGGAGTCTATTTTCAGTACGGGACGTTCTATAGCTGAAAATGGTGTATGATGATAATGAAAGTGACGTCTGGCAAATAGGCGGTGGGACATAAAAGTTGAAACGGCTGTAAATAGCAATACATGACACATTTTCGTTAGATAAAAGATAAAGGCTGTAAAGTTACCGGATTACTAATGTTTGGCCAAAAAACGTTTCCCAAATTATTACATCGCAAACAACGTTTCGCAAATTTTCATTTGGAAAATTCTCATTTGGCAAAACATCTTATTGCAAACTTTTAATTCGCAAATGTCGTTTTTGGCATATTATTGTTTAGCAAATTATTGTTTGGCAAAGTATGTTTTGCCAAATGTTTCATTTGGCAAAAATATTTCACGATAAACTATTTACAAAATAATTTGATTGTCGCATAGAATGGACTACAAATTAGCTCGTGGTTATTATTTTGTATAGTGGGTAGATAATATAAAATTTGTTCTAAATTAATTTTCATATTTCATTCTTTTTATCGAAATTTCCAAATGATTCATTACACAATAGAGGTGATTCTAGCGCTCGGCGGCCGCTGCCGCGGCACGCTTCGCTCGCCTTCGCGCGTTAAGGGTCACTGTTCTAACCTAACCTAACCTACTATTTTCTGCGATACCTACTTTCTGCAACCATACTATTTTCTGCAATCTCTTTGTTTTACATAAAATTCTTGTGAAAACCAATCTGCCTTATTCTTTGATTTGTGGGTAACGGTGGGTAAGTATGTGAAGTGTCAATTTGACCAAACAAATTATTTGGGATATAATATTTGGCAAAATAAA